ATTGCATATGAATACATAAATAAACAAAAATACGCCATCAACAAATAAATGCATGTGCAAATAAACCCATATGTCTGTGTGTTCGTGTCTTCGTGTAGCAATAATAACAATAACAATGTAAAATCGCTTAGATTTCAACCGCAGAGAGAGAGAGGGGAGATGGGGCGAGTGAAAGAGACGGGACGATGAGGGGGACTGGCAAAAAAACAAGAGAAAGGCGGGCCGGAAACGGAGAATTGCAATCCACGAGGAGCCAGAGCCAGAGCCAGAAATAGAGAAATCGAGAAATAAGGCAAAGGCAGCGGAAGCCAAACGTAGAACCAGAACCTCGGGAGCCGGAGCCTGGAAAAAAAGTTATTCGAAATGCCTCCGGGCACGTACAATCCATTCATTCAGCAAATACCAATAATAGACACGTACGGCAAGAGCCGTGCGAAAGAGACAGCCTGCTGGGGTGTGCGAGCGAGACGGGCATAGATATGTATGCTGTGTGTGTGGCGGAGAAATGAAGGCATTTGAAAATGGCACAAAACACAAAAGTCAATGAATAAGCAGCCAGTGCAAGTAAAGCAAATTTGCTAAAGACAATGGGACTTTCAAGGAGGAGGGATGGGGAATCCCCTTTTATACACAGAGAGAAATAAATAAGTATAAGATCATAGATATTTTTTTTATACTTTTTGGTTTTATTTATAAACATTTTTTAGAGGATTCTAGAGATAATCAACCTCTTTAAGTTAGAAGACTTTATTTATAGAACATTCTGACCATTGCACTTAAGGCCTGACAGGAAAAGAGGTGTAGGGTTGTTTTTTATAGTACATATTGTAAGAATACAAATTATTCCCAGTGTATCAAAAGGGATACTCAGAGGATAAGGGCAGGAAGTACGCCCAGGCATGGCACGATGCGACACACATGGCATAAGAAAACAATATGGCAAAACAATTTAGATAAGTTCAAACAACTGCCGTTCCCCTAAAGAACCCCCCCCCCCCCCTCCCCCCACTGTCCCACCGGAAAACGCCTTGGAATGAAAATGTTTTTCTTGGTTAGGAATGCTGGGCCTGCAGGGCTGAAACTAGGAGAAGTAAGTCCTCGCCATGTTATAATAATAGTTGCGTTGCCCCCTCCCATTTAACTTTCATCTTTTCCGCCGTGTGCTGCGATCGTTAATCACCGCCAGGGGGCGCCATAGGGGTTAAGGGGATCCCCCTAAAAGAACGGGGGAAGTGCGTGCCATCCTGCAAGATCCCATCTTGAAACTCGTCCACGTCATCGTGGTCCTTGTGTATATTTGTCATGACATTGCAGTTTTAAGTTAAGTTGCTATGGAATTTTCATTTTCCTCGGCGAGTACCAAAAATATTTATGGCTGGCTGGTGGAGTGGGTGGGAAATTCGGAAGGAATCCCCCCCTCCCACCACCAATAAGGAAGTGTAAGAGGAAGCCCGCTGACAGACAAGCCCCAAGTAATTTGACCAAGTTCAAAGTAATGTTTTGAGTGCCGGCAATAAAAAATGAAATATTGAGATTAAGCTTAGCGGCCCCTTTTTTGGTCGACGGCTGTTTTACCCTCTAAAAAAATAAGTCTAGCCACATTCCCCAAATTCTTTTTTTACGATTTCCCATCGCGTTTTTTATGTTTTCCTATCTGTTGCCATAAAAACACAAGTAGTTCTCTTTTTTGCGTCCCGCAAATACTTTTATTTTACGACCTAATTGGGTGATATGAGCTATGATCAAAGTTTCTGCGATTTTCCAGGGTATTATGGTGAGCACCGAAAAAAGGGGGAAAAGATGGGAAACTGCATTCATTCCTTAATGTGCGCCAACAGCTTGTCAAGTCTTTGTTTTTCTTGTTGCCCTTTTGTTGTCAGCTTAAGCTGATACCACCCCCAACCCCCCCCGGGTGACCCCGCCCCCTTGTCGCCTCACTAAACCCATTAAAACGTCATAATCAACATAATCATAAAGATAATGCATAACAGAACAGAGGGGAGAATTTGTACGCTGGTCAGCCATTTTTTCCGTCTCCCTTGGCTTCCTTTCTCCTGCTTTCTTTCCCATTCTCCGCCATTCTACTCATGGCTTTCTCTCATTATTATTTCGCCAAGCTTGGCCACAAAAGGCGACTAAAGCCTGACCTTTGCTTAATTATGGTAATTAGCACACACACACACACACACACAAAAAAATGCCCAAGTCGCGCCAAAGAGGCAAAACCAAACGGAATGGAACGGAACGGAAGGGGAACTGGGTGGCAATGGAACGGAAGGACGCTGGTCTTTTGGGAGCAAGCGAGACGAACGATAAGCATGCTAAATTACTGGTTCAGCACACTGAAAGAAAAAGGGGTTAGCCAGTAATTAAAGTAAGTTAAACGTCTTGATTTAATATTTACAGATTTAAAAATAATGATTTTGTTAAGTTTTTGTTTCTATAACTTACCGAAAACAAAGCCCATAAATTAAGGAATGAGTGTTTTGTATAGCTAAAGACCTTAGCTATCTATTTCTAACATTTTTCTGTTATTTTATTTTATATATTTTTGTTTTCACATTTTTTTTCCAGAATATTGTTAAAAAAACTGACTTATTTCTTTGGTTTTTAAATGGTCAAATGAGACAAAGTACATTTAAGCTTTGATTATTTTATTTTTTATTTATTTTAGTTTATTTATATTGTAAATATTGCAAACGAAATACACCATATACATATGTCTGATGCCAAATATGGTCTCAGAAGCATTGACAATTGTAATGTAATGCCAAATTCCCTCTCGAATTTCTTCCAGTGCATCCCTAGGACTTGAAGCTGGAACAGCAGCTGCATCTCTGTCCCCTGGATGCGAATGTGGATGATGACGTTGACAACGACGAGGATGGAGCAAAGCTGCTGTCCTGATAAAGCCCAGCAGGGCAAAGGGTCGACTGGTTGGATAGTACGAAAAGTGAGCAGCCAAAAGCCGAAAGTGAATTGCTTCCGCGTTTTCATTCGCTTTAAGCGTTGCTGAAGTGCCGACCACGCCCCCCGAAAAAAAAAACTTGCAATAATATTATGCAATATTTGTTTCACTTTGTCCTGTCCGTGTTTCACTTTATTTTTTTTATTTTTTGCCCTGCTGCTGCTGCTGCGTTTAATTTGCGCATTTCATTTAATTTGCCGTGAATTTGCGGGCCATTCATTTTGTGTTTGCTCTGGACCAAGGGGGCGGTGCACGAGGGTTAAGGCTGGGCCAGCTGGGGGTTAAGGGACCAAGGGGCCAAGGGCTCAGGGGAATCCCCGGCTAAGTGGGGACAACTTCCGCTGCTGTCAAGTTGAGGTGCGCCCTTTGTTGCGCAAATTATTACAGTCTGAAAGTCTACAGTCTGCAGTTTTCATTTTGCACTGCAGTTTCGCCTTAAAAATTCCACTGCATACTTTCAGGGGCAAAGTTTTTCACAAAATTAGCTTGGAATACAAGGAGCAAAGCGTAGACTAAGGATAATTGTAACATAAAAAGAACGTTATTTCTTTTGCAAAGCATAAGAACAGCACTTGGCCCTAATATTCCATTTCTTTTGAGAATTCTGGGAATTGAAGGTTTTTGTTTTCTAGCGAATGGAAATAGGTCTTTTCAGAAGTGCCTATTTTATATGGATAATTTCTTCAAGGAATGAAAAGGACGATCAAAGAAATAATAATAACTTAGGAAAGATCTAAGAATGGGAAACAATTAAAAATGTAATGGCCTTGAAACATATATCTTTTTATTGAATATAGAGCGTTTTCTAAGATTAATATACGTATGTATTTATTAAATGAAGCATGGCATTTGAAGTCTGAAACGATATGTGCGCCTAGGAGGTCGTTTCTTTTTTTCTGCGGATGAACTCCCCGAAAGGTCAAATGTCTGCGGCTGGCATCAATCTGGTATCAAATGCCGGATCGACTTCTTTGGCCTCATTAAAGCGCTTACCCTCGTTTACCCAAACACACAGATACTCGCAGACACCCACACAGAGACACAGACACGCACACACATACAGCTACTATAAAAAAAGACGAGACAAGGACTTGGGGCAGTCAGTAATGTGTAATTTATTGCCTCGCTCAAATTGAAACTAAGCGCCATTAAAAAACAATAAACTAAACATGTAATAAATTCAGACCAAACAAGCGCTCACCCATACATACATATGTACTTCTCCATATAGGCCATGTGTGTGTGTGTGTGTGTGTGGTAAATACCAAAAACACACATACTGAAACAGCAAAAAACTGTGCAAAATAAATTGACCAAATCTGTTGGATAAAAGGATTTGAAAGCAATTAATTGCCAGCGCATAGAAAACATCAAAGTATAAAACAACAAACAAAAATAATGGCAACAAGAGAACGAAATTGCACTTGCCAAATTACCAAAAAAAAAAGAGGAAGCCCGAAATAGAAAAACTGTCAACACATTTTGGAAAACTTATGGTGGAAAAGTCCAACCCAAAGTAACAACTGTAAACATGTCATAACCTGATTGGTACCTGTAAAATACCAAATGACATAAATGTTTTTCAGTTTTCGATAGTTGGCATTTAAGTTCTGAACAAGTAACTGATGTACATATGTTTAAACACCCCATAACGTATAGGAAACCTTCAGCATTACATGATTTTTTGTTTAGTTTTGGTGTTTTATTTCAGTGTAATGGGAAGTGTGAAAGTGTAATCATTATAATATCTTTGTATAATGTTAAATTGGTAAAATGGTATAATAATGTAAAGGTGAAATGCTATATGTTATTATTATGCATTATGTTTATTGTGACCTCGGTGAAAGTGTATTAGGGGCTTCTTATAGCTAAGCAGTCGCCATTTAGTGGAACGCTTCCTTCCGATCATCCTTAACAGGTATTTTAGTTTGCTTTTACGGAAACCAGTTTTCTTGATCAAAGTCTCCATGCGCTGAAACTTGATTCCTTTATAGGAGCTCATCACCTTACGATAGTTAGAATTAATGCGAAGCTATATGTAAATATTTAATTTGATGGTACGGTAAGCAAAGCTATAGATGTATGGTATTTTAAAAAATACTTCAAACCCACCGGTTTGTTATTTTTAAGTCTTGGGGAAAGACCCGACGTTTCGGCTATATAGGCCTGTAGATAATATTTGCTAATGCGCCATTTGCGACTCTTAATTTTGGCAATGCGCTTGAGGACCGTACGCAAACAGTCTTTGGATAACTTGGTTCGTTCCCTCAGATCCCTGAGGGTTCTGTATTTGCGGCCCTCGAAGGCATTCCTAATAACTTGGTCGACGGAAACTGTTCGAGGTGGCTATAAAGAGCAATTATCACTAACGTCGTTAGTTTCGGCCTAATGGAACAGAATTTAATTTAATTTCAAGTTAAAAGTAGTGTTATTAACTTACTTGTGGTGGTCGCGCTGGATTTGGTGCTGTATTTTGAGGCAAATTGTTTAATCTATATCTGTTTGAGATTTCAAAATTAAGCGGACGGTGTTCTGGATAAATTGCTGGCGCATGCGTATAACCTCTGTTAAGATGGCCTTCATGTAGGGGCGGATCGTCAATATAGGGATAGGCCGATCGATAAGCCAAATCGTTGTCCATCGGAAGGTTCCGTTCAGGAGGCAGACGACCTCTCATCGGTGGGGCGGTGCGATAGGGGTGATAGGGCGGAGGAGGATCCCTCACGCGATAGACCCCCGGAGAGATTGGATAACGTCTTATCGGGTAATCCTCTGGATAGGATTGATTGAGTCTCTCATCATAGCGATTGAGCCTGTCGTCATAGCGATTAAGTCTCATCTGCTGCTCAATATAATATGAATCCCTGTAATACGCCTCATCCTCCTGATAAGCCTGAAGTCTTCTCATTTGTTGGGCTCTCTGATAAGCCTGAAGGTCATCTAAGTAGTTCGTTGGATAATTAGAATGGTTTGGCATCGAATAGGGCGAATCATTGCTCTGAGCCCTTCCTATTGGATGGTCAGTGGAATAATAACTGTTCCTTCTAGGAGGAATTGGTCTAAAGGAATCAGATCTTCTGCCCGGATTCGGTTGTGTGGAATCATAACCTTTAGGCGGATTCGCTTCAGTGGTATCAGAATTAGAACTTTCAACCGGATTTGCTTGAATGGAATTAGAACTTCGAATCGGATTCTCCGCTTCGGAGATCTCAGTTGTTATCGGTGGTGTCTGTAAAGTGAAAAAGGGAACATTTTAGTAAGGAGAGCATTAAAAACCCATCGAGTTAGCATCTTACATTTGATCCTCCAACTCGCAGCTTTGGAATTTTATACTGATTAAACGTATTTGGTTTTTGGACGTTATTTTGTGCACCAGCTTCAGACGTACTGGGTGTATTATCGTACTCAGTACTCGCTTTAGTATCTGTTTCGGTAACTTTTGAAGTACTTGGTTTCATATCAGGCTTGGTAGCTTTAGAAGTACCTGGTTTCATATCAGGTTCAGGAATGTGTGTTTTAACATTTGGTTCATTAGTTGTTTTTCGGACCTTTTGTTTTACTGGTTCAATCATTACCGAAGAACGACGCCTTGCTGCTGGTGTTCTCTTGTTAAGGGGCTTCAGATCTGCCTCCGATATTTTCTGATCAACGGACTTTTTAGAAGTAGGGGGTTTGATCTCCGGCTCAAAAGTTGAGGCCTTGGGTTTTGCTAATGCATCAATTAGTATCGATCCTCTTCGCTTAGAAATTGCCATTTTACGATTGGAGGTATTCAAATTTGGTTCTGTCTCCGAAGCGATTGGTTTTTGGGGCCTTGAAATCGCTGGCAAAGACATCCTTCGCTGTGACAAAGGTGTAGGAATACAGAATTTAATTTCCGATTCAGAGGGCTTGGGTTTCGAAAGATTCACATCAGTACAGGATTTTAAATCTGGTTTGATTGACTTGGACTCTTCACTGGGCTTCAGAAGTGATTTTTGTGCCTCAGATTTATTTTCTGTCGGGCTTGATGAAACATCTGGTAATTTACACTTTGCAAAGCTAACGCGTTTTAAAGAGTTTTCCTTTGCGTTTTCCATAACCTGGTCCTGCAATTTTGGATCTGAATTCTTCGGTGTACGAGTCCCCTTTAAAGACCCTGGCTTTTGCGAATCATTTTTTTGTTTTAGAGGCTTCTGTTTTTTCCCGTCACTGGGCTTCAGAAGAGATAATTGTGCCTCAGATTGCTGTTCTGTCGGGCTTGATAAAACACCTTGTAATTTACACGTTTCTAAGGAGTTTTCCTTTCCGTCTTGTATAACCTGGTCCTGGAGCTTCGGATCTGAATTCTTCGGTGTCAGAGTGCCCTTTGAAGACTCTGGTTTTGGCTCATCAATTTTTTGTTTCCGAGACCTCGGTTTTTTCTCTTCCGTTTTAGGTTTCGGAGCCCTCGGTTTTTTCGGTTTCGGAGACTTTGGTTTTTTCGGTTCCTTTTTAGGTTTCGGAGACTTCGGTTGAGTCTCCATTTTCTTATTTTTCGTATACCTTCGTTTTGCTGGTGTGGAAGTTGTGGGACTGCAGGGTTTCGAATCTGTTTCAGGTATGTTTGAGTTACATGGCTTGATATCTAGTTCAGAAAGTTTGGTACTATATTGTTTCACATCTGGTTGGGATATTTTAGGATGACACGGTTTCCCATCAGATCCATTTATTGAATTTGAGCCGATTGGTAGAGAATCCTTTGAGTGTTCCAATTTTACAACAGGTGCAACGGACTTGGGTTCTTCCAAAGGTCTTTCGATAAGCACTTGTGCGTAGGATTGTTTTTTAGTCTGATTGGTCAAAATATTCATCAAATCACGTGTTGCTGGGGAACCCCCTTTCAAAGATTTTTCCTCCGGCTCTTGCACCATGTGTTCTTGGACAATTGGATCTTTATTTTCGGTTTCATTTGTATTTTTTGGAGCCGTCGGCTTTACCAGATTGTCCATCAGTTCCGAATCGCTGAGCTCTATAGGACTACAGAGATTCACGTAAGTCTCAAAAATATTGGTATCATAGGAGACAACATCTGGTTGATGGGTCGAAACGGATTTGCATTTAGTCTCGACTGGGTTGGGCTTTTTAAAGGGCTCTTGAATAGGTATTTGAGCCTGCTCCTGAAAATTGCGATCTAAATATTCCGTTTTATCGATCAGTTTTTGAAGAGCCGGTTCTGCCATAGGTGTAAATGGAGTATATGGCCTAGAATTATTAGGACTTGAGGGTTCCACGTTAGACTCAAGCCGTTTTGGATTAAAGAAGCTATCACGTGGAGTATTGGTTGATTTCGACACTTTAAATTTCCTGGAGAAATATCCTTTGATTGGCCTTGGAATTCTAGAGGGCCTTAAAATACGTTTTCCAGCTATGTTCTTAATGCTTTGGTCCACATATTTCATTTCATCACTCAGTTTTTGAGGCGTCGATTTTTCCGGTTTGGGGACTTGTGCTAAAGGAGTATGGCGCGGTATATTTGGTCTTGAAATATTAGGACCGCAGGGTTTCACGTAAGATTCAAACCGCTTTGGATCATAGGAGCTAACATCTGGTTTATTAGTTGCTTTCGATACTTCAGAATTTCCGGCTACATTCCTAGTTTTGACTGGCCTTGGCATGTTAAGTGGCTTTTGAATATTTTCTTGAGTCTGCTGCGTAAAGGTTTGATTCACATATTGATTAGATTCAAACCGCTTTGGATCATAGGAGCTAACATCTGGTTTATTAGTTGCTTTCGATACTTCAGAATTTCCGGCTACATTCCTAGTTTTGACTGGCCTTGGCATGTTAAGTGGCTTTTGAATATATTCTTGAGTCTGCTGCGTAAAGGTTTGATTCACATATTGTTTAGATTCAAACCGCTTTGGATCATAGGAGCTAACATCTGGTTCATTGGTTGATACCGAAGCTTCAGATTGAAAAGATGTCACCTGAGTTGCGTGTTGTATGAGATTCCAATTAGTTACTTGAGCACCATTTTGTTCTGCTGAATTTTCGATTTGCATTTCCATAATCTGGAGTAGGAAGCATAATTTGAAACAAAAGTATATATATGAGTATATATTTAAAAAGGGTCACGGAACACGAACATGATAAGAAGACAAAAAAATTAGAAAATAACATTTTATTGTTGTTTTTTTTACCTTATCGTCAAGTGAATGGTTTTAAACTAACTTTAAAATATAACGAAAATTTACTATAAGAAATACTTTTTGCCCATATTATTAGGTAAAGTGCGGACTGCCCTAATATATATACATTACATAAAGAATATAATACTTACAAGATGCAGCTGTGTCATCGATACTCCAGTTTGCATTTGAGTTCTCTCCCTATCCCTGCCACCAGTGTATGGTTCATATAATGGAGGTGATGGAATCATATCTTCTTCTTGCTCCAAAGCATCAAATGGTGGGCTGGGAATCGGCGATAACATCGTAAAGGTTTCGCTTCCCAGAGCTTTCAGAAGATCTTCAAATGCTAGTGAATTCGTGCAGGGAGTCCTCGGTGGCGATGGTGACTCCAAATTAGTTGGTTGACCCAAATCGGTATTTATTCCTGAGAAAGATTCCAGTGGTGGATCTGAACTCTGCACAGGCATCCTCGGTGGCGATGATGACTTCAAATTAATTGGTTGATCCAATCCGGTATTTATTTGTGATGAAGATTTCAGTGGTGGATTCGATTTCTGCACGTGTGACATCGATGGCGATGGTGACTCCAAATTAGTAGGTTGATTCCAACCGGTATTTATTTGTGAGGAAGATTTTAGTGGTGGATGTAGATTTTGCACGTACGTCATCGGTGGCGGTGATGACTCCAAATTAGTTCGTTGACCCAAACCGATATAAATTTGTGAGGAAGATTGTAGCGGTGGATCCGGTTTCTGTAATTTTGGCTTTTTCTTCTTCAGTTTTTTTGAACATGATGAACAGGAAGATGCGGAACTAGAAGATCCTGAACTGGAAGATCCTGAACTGGAAGATCCCGAACTGGAAGATCCCGAACTGGAAGATCCCGAACTGGAAGATCCCGAACTGGAAGATCCCGAACTAGAAGATCCCGAACTGGATGATCCCGAACTGGATGATCCCGAAGAACTAGAAGACGATGAGGAGGACCTGGAAGACCCGCTAGATCCGGATGAAGAGCTTGATACAGATACAGGTCGGGATCTTGATATGAAGCGATCTTTTGGGTTCTCGTTCAGGGGCGTAATCGATTTTTCTAAAATCTAAAAAACCCAAAATGTTAATGTTACGTTATGGCCATGTTTAGTTTTAATATTTACTACTGGGTACAAATGTTACCAAAAGGTAGCACTTGATATTTGCTAACTAAAATTTAATAATATTGAGAGCCTTTAAAAATAGATGGAGTGCAACAAAATAATCTTCCACACTTACAACTGTGTCAGCCATTGGATGTGATAACTCTGGGAAATCCAAATAATCTGGCGAATCTGACGGAAATCTTGGGGGGGTTTTTTTATTTAACACTGACATCAAATTTTTCATGGTCTTCCCCCGACTTGGAACCCTTGGAGTGGCTCTGTTATTAGCAGCAAATGGTTTGATCGGCGAGCTCTGGACTTTTTCCCAAGATTGCGGTGTCCTCTGTTCTGGACTGATGTACTGCCCAGGAACAGACATTCGAATCCTAATCGGAGACACAGTTTTTGATTCCATTAGCTCTTTCGTGGCGCTGTTTTCTATAGGTCTTGGAATGGATTCCATTGGCACCCCTAAGGGAATGGGTTCCATTGGCATCCCTGTGGGTATGGGTTCCATTGGCGCTGGCGGTGGCATAAGCAGCCTGAGTGCCTCTTCCTCCTGTTGTTTTTTCAAAGACGCCTTAGTCTGTCGAGGCTTTCGAGGGGCCCTAGGCTTAGGTGGTGCCTTGGTTTTAGGTTCTGGTGGTACGGTTTCATCTGATCCTTCTGGTGGTATAAGAGGAGCCTTTTTTCGCCTAGGGGCTCTTGGTTTGATCGTCTTGCCGATCGACCGTACAGTTGGAGTTGGAATATTAGGATCTATTGGAATTGTCGGTATTACGGGCGATACTTCAAAAGGCCCTACAGCTTCTGTTGGCCGATTTGCTTCTACAGTAGTCTCGGTATTAAAATCGAATTTCGATATATTTGCATTATTGGCTCTTTTAGTATAAGTTCGCTTTGGAGGTTTGGTTGCCGCAGAAGTGCTGGGCTGAGATGGGTCAGCAGGATCCGGATTTTGGCCTGGATTTGTATCTAAAGATGCCTTGGCCGCCTGTTTGGTTTTTCTCGGTTTTTTTGGAGGCCTGTTCGCCAACCTCTCTCTCTTGGCAGCCTCTCTCCTTAGCTGAGAAATACTGGGTTTAGCTGGAGCCGCCCAGTTCCTCTTAGCCGGCTCCTTTTTGGGCCTGGGATTTCTTGCCTTGACAAATTTTCCTCTGGTTGGCTTGGACGGAGCACTGATAGTCCTGGTATAACTTACCGAAATCGTATTAATACAATTTGTGTTGGTTGTATTAACAATTGTATTGAAACCATATTCGGTGTATGACTGAGCTTGCGATTCATTTGGATTGGCCGTAAATACTCCACTTCTCTGATATTCTTGGTTTCCTGAATCTGAATCACTTAAATAATCCCACCATTCACTTATTCCCCTCACTAGACTTTCGTCGTTCTCGGTGGGCATGGAATCCAGAAGCGGCAACATTTCTGAGGGCTGTGCAAAAAGATTAGGGATAATTAAACCCAGTTTACCAAAACGTGGAGACTTAATATTAGTTCGGTTAACTGTAAAACTTACATCTGGTAAACCGGAATCGTGCGATGCGGGAGGCTCTGGATTTTGATTTTCCTCCACTGTCACTGGTGATGGATCTGTCATTATATTCTGCAAAGCGAGCTCGTTGGATCTACTTTCTAATGGTGGGTCTCCGGATATAATATTGTAAGAGGGTTCCATCACCATCCTCTGCAAAGGGCGTTCTGCCATTATCTTCTGGAACACTTTTTCTTTGGATTCGGTTTCCAATGGTGGTTCCCCTGATATATTATTGTAAGAGGGATCCTCCACCATCCTCTGCAAAGGGCGCTCTGCCATTATGTTTTGGAATGCTTGCTCTTTCGATTTGGTTGGTGGTTCCCCTGATATATTATTGTAAGAAGGATCCTCCACCACCCTCTGCAAAGGGCTTTCTGCCATTATGTTTTGGAATGCTTGCTCTTTCGATTTGGTTGGTGGTTCCCCTGATATATTATTGTAAGAGGGATCCTCCACCATTATCTGCAAAGGGCGTTCTGCCAATATGTTTTGGAATGCTTGCTCTTTCGATTTGGTTGGTGGTTCCCCTGATATATTATTGTAAGAGGGATCCTTCACCATTATCTGCAAAGGGCGTTCCGCCAATATGTTTTGGAATGCTTGCTCTTTCGATTTGGTTGGTGGTTCCCCTGATATATTATTGTAAGAGGGATCCTCCACCATCCTCTGCAAAGGGCGTTCTGCCATTATGTTTTGAAATGCTTGCTCTTTCGATTTGGTTGGTGGTTCCCCTGATATATTATTGTAAGAAGGATCCTCCACCACCCTCTGCAAAGGGCTTTCTGCCATTATGTTTTGGAATGCTTGCTCTTTCGATTTGGTTGGTGGTTCCCCTGATATATTATTGTAAGAGGGATCCTCCACCATTATCTGCAAAGGGCGTTCTGCCAATATGTTTTGGAACGCTTGCTCTTTCGATTTGGTTGGTGGTTCCCCTGATATATTATTGTAAGAGGGATCCTCCACCATTATCTGCAAAGGGCGTTCTGCCAATATGTTTTGGAATGCTTGCTCTTTCGATTTGGTTGGTGGTTCCCCTGATATATTATTGTAAGAGGGATCCTTCACCATTATCTGCAAAGGGCGTTCCGCCAATATGTTTTGGAATGCTTGCTCTTTCGATTTGGTTGGTGGTTCCCCTGATATATTATTGTAAGAGGGATCCTCCACCATCCTCTGCAAAGGGCGTTCTGCCATTATGTTTTGAAATGCTTGCTCTTTCGATTTGGTTGGTGGTTCCCCTGATATATTATTGTTAGAGGGATCCTCCACCATTATCTCCAAAGGGCGTTCTGCCAATATGTTTTGGAATGCTTGCTCTTTCGATTTGGTTGGTGGTTCCCCTGATATATTATTGTAAGAGGGATCCTCCACCATTATCTGCAAAGGGCGTTCTGCCAATATGTTTTGGAATGCTTGCTCTTTCGATTTAGTTAGTGGTTCCCCTGATATATTATTGTAAGAGGGATCCTCCACCATCCTCTGCAAAGGGCGTTCTGCCATTATGTTTTGAAATGCTTGCTCTTTCGATTTGGTTTCCCCTGATACTTTATTGGACGGAGGTTCCTGCACCATGCGCTGCGAAGGGCTTTCTGCTCTATAACTCTGGAAAGCGAGCTCTTCAGATCTTGTTTCCAAAGTTGGCTCCCCTGATGTTATCTTGTACGATGGTTCTTCCACCATCCTCTGCAAAGGGCGTTCTTCTTTAATATTCCGACGAGCGGCTTTCTTGGATCTTCTGTATAATGGTGCCTTCCCTGATATTATGTTAATCAAGGGTTTCTTCACCATTCGTTGAATAGGGCGTTCTTCAGTTAAATTCTGGAAAGCGACGCCTTTGGATTTTGTTTCCAATGGTGGCTCCCCCGATATGATCGTCTCCAAAGGGCGTTCTGCCATTATGTCCTGGAGACCGATTCCATTGGATTTGGTTTTCAATGATGGCCCCAACGATATTATCTCACACGAGGGTTCCTCCACCATTCTCTGCAAAGGGCGTTCTGCCATCATATTCTGTATAGCGAGTTCATTGGATCGTGTTTCCAATGATGGCTCCCCCGATATAATCTTGTAAGAGGGTACCTCTATGATCTTCTCCAAAGGGCGTTCTGCCATTGTGTTCTGGAGACCGATTCCTTTGGATTTGGTTTGCAATGATGGCTCCAACGATATTATCTCAGACGAGGGTTCCTCCACCATTCTCTGCAAAGGGCGTTCTGCCATTATATTCTCTGTAGCGAGTTCCTTGGTTCGTGTTTCCAATGATGGCTCCCCCGATATCATGTTGTACGATGGATCCTCTATCATCCTCTGCAAAGGGCGATCAGCCATCATATTCTGAAAAGCTAGTTCCTTGGACCGTGTTTCCAATGATGACTCCCCCGATATCATACTGTACGAGGGTTCCGCCACCATCATCTGCAAAGACCGTTCTTCCACGTTGTTTTCCCACTGCATAACATTTGGGTTTTGTCCCTGGATCAGCTGCAAAGGGCGTTCTTCCACATTATTATTTTCCCACTGCATCACATTTTCGGCTTGGCCCTGGAGCAGCTGATTTGGGCGAATGGTTGTCTGGTTGTCATGAACCCCGATGGCGCTCCAATCAAAATCGCATTCCATCGTTTGCTCCTGTAATGGAATTACCAACTTTTAGCAAAACAGTTACCTTTAGATATATGAGTAAATCTTACCTGCTCGCAGTTCCTGGTTTCGGCATGTTCCGATACAAAGTCAATCAGCATAGAATCCTCGTTTCCAGACATGTTATTTGCTTGGTTTTCCCAAAAGCTTGAGCCGTAATTTTCAGCTGAATTGTTCACGAACGCGTTGTCAAATGAAAAGTCGAAGCCCACTTCGCTTGTACTAGAAAATGTAGCCTTTAAAGGAGAAAAATGTTGTAACACTGAGATATTGGACACATTTTTCAACACTTACTTCGTTTAAGTTGCTTTGGGCAAATGTAGGTATATCAAGCGGATGCTGTTTTAATTTAAAAAGGATGTTAATGAAATACAATTAAAAAGATATTTGTTTAAATTAGGAATAAATAAAATATTGAATTTTTGTAGCCTATAAAGAAGAAAAATGTTGTAACCATGAGGAACTGGACACATTTTAGAACACTTATTTGGTTAAAGTTACTTTAATTTAACCAGAAGGTTTACAAATTACTACTAAAAAAGCTGTTCATTTAAATGCGGAATAAATAAAATATTGCATTTAGGTAGCTTTTAAGAAAACAAATTTATGAACACTGAGAAACTGGAGAAATTTGTTTATAAAGGGAAAAATATTTTAATTTAACCAGCAGACTTACGAAATACAAGTAAGAAAACTGTTTGTTGAAAGTCGGTAAAAATAAAATATTGCAATTAATATGGTCACATTGAGCGCATGGCAATTGGCTTGATAAATTGTGTATTGGAAAACGTGTAGTATCTGCTAACTTGCCTGGTTTTGTGCAGCCCTGGATGTAGAAGGCATCTCGAAGTCCATACGCTCACTCTTTATTAACAGATTGTGATTGAAAGTATAAGTTTATCGGCTTAGGAGTACATTATCCAACACTATTGAACTCACCTGGGAAAAGTAGTTCCGCGGAGTCTCGTTCACTTGGCTGTTCATGTCCCCCATTGTGCGGGGATTTTCTTGAACTTGCCATTGATTCTCGTCTGGGTTACTCATTCTTAAATTCAGTTTTTTTCAGATATATATTTGAATTGTATTTTATTCAGCTAAAATTCGAAGTTTCCTTGATCACTGAACTTGTACAACTGATACAATAGCTCTTTTTGTTTGACAACTCCAAGTTTGTATACATATAGGCTGCTTGGACGCAAAAGTTTTTTCGAGGAAATAAAGTTTAAGAAACCATTCTAAAGGGAAAAGTCTTAAGAAACCAAGTCTTAAGAAACTAACATTTAGCCATAATTTTAATTTAAGTAATATGGTCAAGCCAGTGAATTTAGTAATTGCAGGTTAATCGATCAGAAAGTGAGGTCATCTTAGCTAAAGCTGTGCTAAATTTAAGTACTTTGTCCAAAGAATGTCAACGTTTTAGCTTAGGCATATATCCATACCTTGTCCAAATGTTCTGTCTATTAATACAAATTTCAATTGGGTGCAAATAATATGCTTAGGTAATTTATGTATGGCATAATTCCGATCGCCAGTTGCTGTTTGCCGGCCGAAACCGGGGTCCTTTCGATGGCCAGTGCTAAGGTGGCTCCTGTTTGCCATTTGCCTTCATACGCACCGCTGAGCATTGGCATTTGTTTGCCAGGTCCTCCTGGCCAGGACCTCCTCATCCTGCTCCCCATCCTCGTCCTATTCCAGCTGCAGTTACTGCTGTTGCTTTAGCAGCTCTTGTGGTTTATTATAACTGCATATATCATGCAAATATCCACACACAGAGGGGCTGTAACCAGCCCCCCAAATTCCCAGATCCCCGAGAACCCCCCGAGCAACCGAAAATCCAAACACAAACACAAACAGAAACAGAAACACTGGAGAGGGCAAAACCGGAGGTCCTTGTATCAGAGGATGTTTGGTTTCTGGGGTGTGGCTGGCTGGCTGGCTGGTTGGCTGGTCTTTTTTGAGGGCCGCAGTGACAGGTCCTTGCGCAAATTCGGTTTTTGCATGCTTAGCTCTCGCCTTCTTTTCCAACAGCCAACAGCTCTCTCGTTTACGAGAATTATTTTATAAATTTTCATAGTTTTCACTTTGATTAAAAGTGCGGTCATGGCTTCTGTGGCCTGGATTTCTGCTGTGTTGGCCAGCTCCATTACCATGCGGAAAATGGAAAAGCCGGCCGCAAAAGTGCACGCAACGGAAATCGAGTGAAGTCCTGCGACAGCGTCTTACGGAAAATCCTGCCCAGTTTTATCCAGTTAAAGGACATGTCCGGCATGATTTATGTTTTTTTTGTGTTTTTTTTTTTGGTTTGATTCCCAGCTCTAGTTGATTTAGAAATTAAGTCAGGTAAACCGGCTTGGTGTACAAAAAATAGTAAGGCTTAAAGCATTGAGTGTAAAATGAAATGAAATAATTTGGAAATATTCGTAGGTGAGCTCAAAAGAGCTCATCAAAAGTCGTGGAGTGCTTATTTCAGTATTGGATTAACTGGTAATGGCTATATTTCAATTTATTAAAAATTGGCAACTTCCTTTAGCTGCATTTCAACCATCTATTTATTCAAATTGTTCCACAAAACACATGATTAATGGCCATATGAAACGACTTCTGAGTTGGTCAATACCTCAATACGAAACGTTTGCCAATTTGTGGCAAAGTCCACAATTGATTTAGCTGAGCAAGGTCATCAATTTCAGTTGCTTTACGCCCATTTTGGACGGGTCAACAAATTTCGGACCCAGATTGATTTATATGCCCGACAGATTTGCGCTCAGTGTAGCCGCACACTTTGGATTAGCCAAGTATTCATTGCATTATTGGCATTAATTGCTCAGGCAGCAAAAACCGCACCATCTCTCCTTCAATAGTATTTCATTTTTGTTTCAATATTTGACAAATGCATTTATAATTGCAGGCCGCAGATAAAATCCGATGTGCCATCTTCATCGTCTTCCGAGCAATTTGTAATTGCTAATTTATGGCATTTCCTTGTTGTCTTAACGAGCTTAGTGCCTCTCTTCGGTCACCGACAAATTTTAAACTGCATTGGAATGTTGAGGCTTGCCAAAAATTATCAACTACACAATTATTTCCAAAGCCAATTGTCATTTACAGTGACAAAAAAGTTCAAAAAACTCGGTCTTAGCTGTACGCCTTGGAAAGAAAAATCGATTTTTTGACTAAAAAATGAATCTCGTATTTTTGAGCAAAATCGAAATACCATTTTTTCGCCCTAAAAATTCTGTTTTTTGGCTGCTATAAAGAAAATAAACGTCAGATCAAGGAATGTCATACCTCGTTGAGCTCGTTAAAAAAAATGAGAAAATTGGTAAAAAAAATTCATTTTCCTTAAAGTGATAGGGATCGATAGCAATTAAAGCAAGCTGCTCAAAACTGTCGGTCTTTTACCTGTACGCCTTGATTTGGCTAAATTACGACTAAAAAACCATTAAAAAATGAGTATTTTTGGCCAAAGTCTGAATTCCAAAAAAAAACGAGCTACCCCCTTACAAAAAATGAAAAATTGTGTCAAAAAATAAATCTTCCTTAAAGTGATAGGGATCGATAGCAATTGAAGCAAGCTGCTCAAAACTGTCGGTCTTTTAGCTGTACACCTTGATTTGGCTAAATTACGACTAAAAAACCATTAAAAAATGAGTATTTTTGGCCAAAATCTGAATTCCAAAAATAAACGAGCTACCCCCTTACAAAAAATGAAAAATTTTGTCAAAAAATAAATTTTCCTTAAAGTGATAGGGATCGATTGCAATTGAAGCAAGCTGCTCAAAACGGTCGGTCTTTTAGCTGTACTCCTTGATTTGGCTAAACTACGACTAAAAAACCACTAAAAAATGAGTATTTTTGGCCAAAATCTGAATTCCAAAAATAATCGAGCTACCCCCTTACAAAAAATGAAAAATTTTGTCAAAAAATAAATTTTCCTTAAAGTGATAGGGATCGATTGCAATTGAAGCAAGCTGCTCAAAACTGTCGGTCTTTTAGCTGTACTCCTTGATTTGGCTAAACTACGACTAAAAAACCACTAAAAAATGAGTATTTTTGGCCAAAATCTGAATTCCAAAAATAAACGAGCTACTCCCTTACAAAAAATGAAAAATTTTGTCAAAAAATAAATTTTCCTTAAAGTGATAGAGATCGATAGCAATTGAAGCAAGCTGCTCAAAACGGTCGGTCTTTTAGCTGTACTCCTTGATTTGGCTAAACTACGACTGAAAAACCACTAAAAAATGAGTATTTTTGACCAAAATCTGAATTCCAAAAATAAACGAGCTACCCCCTTACAAAAAATGAAAAATTTTGTCAAAAAATAAATTTTCCTTAAAGTGATAGGGATCGATTGCAATTGAAGCAAGCTGCTCAAAACTGTCGGTCTTTTAGCTGTACTCCTTGATTTGGCTAAACTACGACTGAAAAACCACTAAAAAATGAGTATTTTTGGCCAAAATCTGAATTCCAAAAAAAAACGAGCTACCCCCTTACAAAAAATGAAAAATTTTGTCAAAAAATAAATTTTCCTTAAAGTGATAGGGATCGATTGCAATTGAAGCAAGCTGCTCAAAACGGTCGGTCTTTTAGCTGTACTCCTTGATTTGGCTAAACTACGACTGAAAAACCTCTAAAAAATGAGTATTTTTGACCAAAATCTGAATTCCAAAAAAAAACGAGCTACCCCCTTACAAAAAATGAAAATTTTTGTAAAAAAATAAATTTTCCTTAAAGTGATACGGATCTTGCAATCGATAAAAAAATAAATTTTCCTTAAAGTGATACGGATCGATTGCAATTGAAGCAAGCTGCTCAAAACTGTCGGTCTTTTAGCTGTACTCCTTGATTTGGCTAAACTACGACTGAAAAACCTCTAAAAAATGAGTATTTTTGACCAAAATCTGAATTCCAAAAAAAAACGAGCTACCCCCTTACAAAAAATGAAAATTTTTGTAAAAAAATAAATTTTCCTTAAAGTGATACGGATCGATTGCAATTGAAGCAAGCTGCTCAAAACTGTCGGTCTTTTAGCTGTACTCCTTGATTTGGCTAAACTACGACTGAAAAACCACTAAAAAATGAGTATTTTTGGCCAAAATCTGAATTCCAAAAAAAAACGAGCTACTCCCTTACAAAAAATGAAAAATTTTTTCAAAAAATAAATCTTCCTTAAAGTGATAGGGATCGATAGCAATTGAAGCAAGCTGCTCAAAACTGTCGGTCTTTTAGCTGTACTCCTTGATTTGGCTAAACTACGACTGAAAAACCACTAAAAAATGAGTATTTTTGGCCAAAATCTGAATTCCAAAAATAATCGAGCTACCCCCTTACAAAAAATGAAAAATTTTTTCAAAAAATAAATCTTCCTTAAAGTGATAGGGATCGATAGCAATTGAAGCAAGCTGCTCAAAACTGTCGGTCTTTTAGCTGTACTCCTTGATTTGGCTAATCTACGACTAAAAAACCTCTAAAAAATGAGTATTTTTGACCAAAATCTGAATTCCAAAAAGAAACGAGCTACCCCCTTACAAAAAATGAAAATTTTTGTAAAAAAATAAATTTTCCTTAAAGTGATACGGATCGATTGCAATTGAAGCAAGCTGCTCAAAACTGTCGGTCTTTTAGCTGTACTCCTTGATTTGGCTAAACTACGACTAAAAAACCTCTAAAAAATGAGTATTTTTGACCAAAATCTGAATTCCAAAAATAAACAAGCTACCCCCTTACAAAAAATGAAAAATTTTGTCAAAAAATAAATTTTCCTTAAAGTGATAGGGATCGATTGCAATTGAAGCAAGCTGCTCAAAACGGTCGGTCTTTTAGCTGTACTCCTTGATTTGGCTAAACTACGACTAAAAAACCCCTAAAAAATGAGTATTTTTGGCCAAAATCTGAATTCCAAAAATAAACGAGCTACCCCCTTACAAAAAATGAAAAATTTTGTCAAAAAATAAATTTTCCTTAAAGTGATAGGGATCGATTGCAATTGAAGC